AAAATACTTCTTTAAGTCTTTTAAGCACCTTTGATTAACATATACATATTGTTGGGTTGATTTCCAAAGTTTATATTTACTTATGTGTATATTAACTTTATGGATTTGGTGTATTTTGATCTCAACATATAGATAACTTATATATGCATCACATATATATTTTGGAATGGTTTTAACATATGGAATAACATATATGTTCATGTATGTATGTGATGAATGATTCGACAAGTCTAACGCAAGGGTACAGACCTGGAAATCATCGGCCGAAACCTTACGGATGAGCGGGAGTGAAAACAACATCGAAATTCGCCAACTTTGTCATTTCCGTCATAAATGGACAGCCTGTGGTATTTTGGGCATATCTCCATCGTTTCTTCACGGAATTGCAAACCGCTTGATTCTGTGGATTCCTAAGATGTAAGGCTATAACTTTTGTATAGAAAGTATTTCGAGTTAACATATGTAAGATAGCGTAAATCGGACCTGAAGTCAAGGGAAAGTTGCTGTCCAAAATTTTGAATATGTCGATGAACACGATTCCGACGATTAACTCACTAACTTCAACATTCCAATGCCGAACCTTCTCTACGATACCTTCCGGATGTTCCTAATAATTGTAAGAGAGTTTATGGTAAGTATTTGGAATGAAATAATATGAATTTGGTGAAGAAACACATGCCAACCCGAGGAGCTCGCCACCACTGGCGCAGTCCCGGTATTTTGGCCATATCTTCTTCGTTACTTAACGAAATCGCGAGCCGTTTGTTGGGCTGGATTCGTATCGTCCGGGACTACAACTTTGGTTCAGAAAGTATTTCGAGATAATGGATGGAAAATTTCAGTTTTTACCTAGAAGTGGGCTGCTGTGTTTGAACTCAGGATTTTAGAACTTTAGATGGTTTCTTCTTGCTTCTTCTTCTTCCATGGACTAAATGATGAGTTCTTGCTACTGTGTTCTTCTTGTTTGTGTGAGAAATCAGGGATGGAAGGAGATGATGGTGTGTGATAATGGTTGATGATAGGAGATGATGATGGTGGTGGTGGATTTGGTGGAGGATTATAATGAGAAAGGTTGTTGGATTATTGTGGTGTAGTGGGTGGCTAAAGATTGAGTAGGGGAGGTGGCCGAATCATGCTAGGAGATTTTAGGATATTCAGTTTGGTTTTTAGTCCAAACTGACTAGTTTACTCCAAACGGTACGCGCTTTTTCACCCAAATTGTTCTAAATTGGAAACGGATTGTGTTTTTGGAATCAGACTGTCAAAACTAGAATTTTGATGTAATCGAAATATTTTTCTGAGAACTTTTATTTTTTTCACTGTTCAAGTCTGTCTCAGTCATAAATCAATTTAATAATATGAATGAGATATAAATATATGTATTAAATCCAAATGATAAATATGGTGTTGTCAAGTGTCAAAATTATGATTTCTAATCTTATAAAATCACTTTTGAATTGAGTTTATTTTATGGGTCAAAGTTACAAATTTTAATATTTAAAATTGACATAACTTGAAATCTATAAATCAGATTGGTTCTTAAAATGTTCCGTTGGATTCGTCTCTTCGAGACATATCCATAAAAGTAAGTTTTTAATAAAAAGTCATTATTTTGAAAATCCATTTATTTTTAGTCAAACGTATAAATGTTTCTTATTGGACAAAAATATTCAAAACTACTTTTGTTTTATAAAATTTAGGCCATGTTTCGTGGCGTTACAGACGTTGATTGCCATTTCCAAGTGACGCAACCTTACCGGTCATCTTTCCTCCAAGGTTGTCCGGTCATTTCTTGAGTTCGACCCGTCTCTTTGGTCCTCTGGACTATCCTTCGTAACATGAAGTGACGAATTGGCTAACGCCCAAAATGTGACCGGTCACTTTTTTAGTGGAAGTGACCGGTCAACTTTTGACCCGTCTCAATCGAAGAGTTAACTTCATTTGGTGATTGATAAAAGTGACCGGTCATATTTTGACCTGTCCCTTTCGGTTATCCGGGTCGGGTATAAGGATATACCCATCAAGAAGTCCTCCACTTACCGGCCTTGTGATGAAATCATCAAGGGCGGGAAGTATACTTATGTTAACCTATCACACTTTTGAAATCATCAAGTCACCCTTGCTGACCAGTCATATCACACCACCTAGTCTCTCTCATGACCTGTCCCTTTGAATCATCAAGCCTCTCCCTCTAAGACTTGTCTTTCTTTGAAATCATCAAGTCATTCTTGTTGACCTGTCCTTTTAGACCCGTCGCTTTTAGAATTATCAGACCTTTCCGTTTAGACCTGTCTTCTTCTGGAATCATCAAGTCATTCTCGTTGACCTGTCCCTTTTTAAAATTGTCAAGCCATTCCCATGACCTTTCTATGGAGACCTGCCCATTTCTTGGATTCATCGTCTTCATATCAGACCTGGCACTTTTGGATTTGTGGAATACGCTGCATGACCTGTCCATTCGGGTTAGTGGAAGTCCAAACGTTGGCCCTGACCCTTCAGTTTTTGGAATTTCCCCCCAAAACCTTTCACCTTCCAAATTCAAAATTCAAAAAATTCTCCTTCATCATTACCCTTCCACGTGTCACGCCCTCGGTCTCCCACCTGTCGCCTCGAGTTCCAAACCGCCTCTCTCTCTCCTATAAATACTCCTCCAACCCACTCCATTTTCTCACTTCACTTCTTCGCCTCTCTTGTTTCGACCGGTCTACTTTCTCTCTCTAGCCTTCTGCCAAGTAAGTCCTCCAGTCCTCCTAGTCTTTTATTTCTTTCATCTTTCTATTTTTGACCGGTACGCTAGAGTCATGTTGTCCTCTGATAGCCAAAATGTGTCCGGTAAGTCTTATGGATCGGGCTCTTTGCCCTCTTCCTCTTCCCACTCTGAATCTTCTTCTCCTCCTCCTACTCCTTTGATTTGTCGCCCCTCCCAACAGTCTAACCCTCAGGCCCGGGAAATAATTGCCCAGGAGCCTGTCCCTTTGAATCAACTGCCCGGTCGATTCAATCCCAAGGTCCTCAGCTGGGAGCAATGGGAAGAACGACTGGGATCCTTGGGCTTCCTAGCCCTTGATGTCAGATCGGTTTTCAAAGAGTCTTCTAGGGTCACAAAAAAGGTTCTGGCCGAGGTCCGTACCATCCTCCCACCGGGTTACAAAGTCCTTTCCAAAACCACCTGGCCCAACATCATTGAACCCCACCAGGGAACCCGGTTGGGTTTTCATGTTGCTTCTCTGGAGGGAGGTATTATTTTTCCTCTTCGCCCCCTCCTTATTGAAATCTGTAAGAAGTTTCGTGTTTTGCCCGGTCAACTTACTCCAAACGGCCACCGGTTCTTAAATTGTTTTGTTAATATCTGTGAAAATCTGAAAATCGACCCTTCCCTTGAGCTTTTCCTCCACATGTACGAAGTCTTGCCCGGGACTAGTAACTGCCCGGGCTTCGTCTATTTTCATTCTCGTAATAAGAGGTCTTTTGTGACCGGTGTTCCCCCTAGCCACAAAAGATGGAAGAAAAGATTTGTTTTTGTTGAATTCCCCCCTGACCAATTTCCTTTCTCTAACCCTGAGTGGGCTGACCGGGTTATAAAACCTGAAAGGGTTCATCCGGAGCCCACTAAAGATCTTGAGGACGCCTGCGAGAAACTTCTCAAGGGTGATCCTATGACCGGGAAACCTTATGCCTATGGAGGCTGGGTATTCCGGCTACCTAATCCAGATGGGGGTGAATCTGCGACCCATGACGCAGAAGATGACCGGGCCAACTCCCCGGATGGTCATGCTGAGGCCAGTTCTCCTCATCCAGGTCGATCATCTTCTCTTAAGCTTCTTACTTTCATTTTCTTTATTTATGTACAAGGTTTAAAAACTAACCGGTCATTTGCTGTTTTGTTCTTTTTCGCAGACATGAACTTCAACAGGATGACCACCATCATCGAAGATGACGACGATGATGTCCAAGTCCTCCACTCCAACCGGTCTCCTCTCTCTAACCCTCCTTCTTCTCCTCACTTCCCTGGAATGGATGGGGCCACAAGTGCCCGGTGTAGCCCTATCCATGAACAGAGCCAAAAGCTGAAATCTCCTTCAGCCAGGCATCATTCTGAGAGTGACCGGGCTAATCCCCCCAAAGTCTCGGTCTAATCAGGTGCTAAAGAGGTCGGTGCATCTTCTTCTTCAAAAGCCAAGGACCAAAAAAGGAAGAGCTCTCATAAGAGTTCCAGGGGAGGCAAGAAGAGGAAGATTAGTTTATCAGACAGGGAGGGGGAATCCATAGAAGAAGCCTTCCTATCCCTGGCCAAAAAACTCAGCAAGGTATTTCATCTCCAGTTTCCTTCCCAGTTTAACTTTCTGCTTTGCTTTTATTGATATGCCTCCTCTTTTTTTTTGAATTTGCAGGCCGGGGTCATTTCAGAGGAGATTGGCCAAACAATAAAGGAGAAGGATCAGGTCTCCCAACTCACCCTCCTCCTTGATTCTGCTAAGTTAGAGATTAATGATCGGGCAGAAAGGGAAAGGAGGCTTGAGGAAGAGCTGAAGGAAGAGAGGGCCAGGTTAGAGGAGGAAAGGATCAAGCTAGAGGAAGAAAGGGCCAAGTTGGTGGAGGAGAAGAGGAAGGTGGCTGAACTGGAGGATGCGTTGGGCCAAGCCAAGGAATCTGCCCGGGCAAAGGAGAAGTCTTTTCCTGATGATGCTGCGACTTGGGCTTCTTGCCATCACGCTGAAGTTGCCCGGTCCATTCTCACCAATCCGGAGGACACCATGGACTTTTTCAAAGTCATGTATAAGGAACCGGAAGGGAAGAAAATGATAACAGATGTCGGGTCCTATGGGTTTTAGTGTGGCCAAAAAGATGAAAGGTCGCTCCTCTACGCAAGGCTTCAGAAGAGGGATCCTTATTTCGACCCGGTTAAAATGAAGCTCCCGGCCTTATACAAGGAAGAGCCGCTCCCCCCTTTCCCCTAGAGTAGGTTAGGGCTTGAATTCAACAACTTTAAATTTTCTCAAGGCCTGGGGGATGTCCGGCCTATTTCAAACTTTGTGTGAAACTTAAATCTCCTTGGCGTCTTTATTTTTTACCGGTCTCTTTGCTTTACTCTTTGAATGGTTGAATTTCCTTTCTTGCATGACTGAAATCCTTTCCTGGTTGTTTTACTCGGTTGAATTTTGAAGTTGCTTGGTTTGAAGAATGTCCAGGTGTAATTGGCTTGCTAAAACTTTAAGAATCATTTGAAGAATGTCCAGATCTAATTGGCTTGGTTGACAATTTCCCGGAACATGCTTGCTTCCAAGTTAATAAAAGTAACCGGCATAGGCCTCCTGGTTAGATAACATTTTGAAAATGTCTAGGTCTTGTAGGCTTTGTTGAAAACATCCAAGTCTTGAACTCTTGAAAACGTCCAGGTCACGTTCATGCTGAAATGTAAAAAGTTTCCAGGTCATCTCATTCCTAGTTTATTAGGCTAGGTTAAAGTCTTGAAGGGTATTTTAGATGCACGGCTTGGAAACTTCCAGGTCATCTCATGTCCTGGTCTCCAGACTCGAAAATGTCCAGGTCATGTTATGTCCTGGTCAAGTACAAGCCTTGAAAACATCTAGGTCTTGCAACCTTGAAAACATCCAGATCTTGTAGCCTTGAGAACGTTCAGATCACTTCATGCCTGACTAGTCTTCTGGACCAGCTTATGTCTAGGTTGAACTGCAACAAACGTCCAGGTCATCTCATGTCCTGGTGTAGTAGGCTAGGTTGGAAGTTTTGAAGACCACTTTAGACGCAAGGCTTGAAAACTTCCAGGTCATCTCATGTCCTGGTTTCTTGACTTGAAAACGTCTAGGTTGGTTTTTTCCCCGCTTGTCTTCTGACCCAGTCAACTTCCAGGTTAGAATGTGACACTCGTCTAGGTTGAATTCTTCGTGACCAACTTCTAATGGCTTGGTTGCAATATGTAACCAGCATGACGTCAAATTTCCTGTCCAGGTGCCGGGTCAAATGTGACCGGTCAAAATGGAAGTTTTCCAGATTCGTCTGATTTCATCAAATCCGCCAACTAAAAAAGTGACCGGTCACTTTTCTCAAAGTTGACCAGTCAAATTTTAATTTTTTCCCATTCGCATTTTCTTGCCAATCCAAAACATCAAAAAGTGACAGGTCACTTTTGACCATGCCACTTTCCTTTACCCCTTTGGCCTGGATGTCATGCCTAACAGTAACCTTGCTCAAATTTCGAATGAATAATCCGAATCGGTTTTGGAATCATCAAGTCTCAACTTCAAGACCCGAACTTTCTTCGGAGATTTTGACCATGTCCTATGATCGCGAACCCTCTCCAAGGTTCAGCCCTCTTCCAGGCAACACCCTTCTTCCAGGGCCCCTCTTCCAGGTTTTAAGTTTTTTAATGTGCCATTCTCTAATCATTAGGTTGACCTAGCCAACCCAATCTTCCCACGTGGGGGTATGCTGGTGAGAACCAGCCCTCATCCAATCCTACATGTCCATATGTTATGCGTTTGAAGTGAATTCTAGTCTTCCCTAGACCCTTCAATCCGCAAAGGATGGCTCATGCAAGATGGTAATTTTTTTTTTTAATTTGGCATCTTTTTGCCCCTATCCAAATGAAAATTTGGTAGGGATCCATGTAAGTATGGACGCGAGTCCTCTTCCAGACCCAGCCTATCTCAAGGTCATACCTCAACATCAAGGCCCCTATCTCAAGGGTTTATCTTTTTTTTTTGACCTTGCCTCTTACATCAAGACATATTACTTTAGTGTTACTGACCCAGCAACACAAGTATCGAAGAAAGCTCTTATTTATAATCGAAGGGGTATTACAAATACATGCCCTGCCAATTTGGCCTATCGGTAAAATTTTCTAAGGTGGTGGGAATTCCAGCACCTTTCCAACTCTCGACCTTCCATTGTTTCTAACTTGTATGTCCCAGGGCGTAATATTGCTGTGACCCTATATGGGCCTTCCCATTTCTTTGCAAGTTTTCCCTCGTCTCCGGGTTTGCTGGCCTCCCTTCGTCTCAGGACCTCATCACCCACTCTGAAATAACGAGGCCCTACCTTGTTATCATGGTAAGCCTTGGCTGCTTGCTGGTATTCCATCATTTTAGCCTCAGCGACCATCCGCCTCTCTTCCAACAAGTTTAGCTCTGCCAAATGGTTTTCCTCATTCCCTTTCTCTTCATAGACCTTCTCCCGAAAGGTCATTATTTTAGCTTCGATGGGTAGTCTGGCCTCACACCCATATGTAAGGACGAAGGGTGTCTCCCATGTGGCCCTTCTTGAAGTGACCCGGTAAGCCCAGATGATATGTGGCAACTCCTCTAACCAATTCATTCCTGCCTCACCCAACCGCTTTTTGATCCCATCGACTATTGTGCGGTTCGCATTCTCCACCTGGCCATTCCCTTGCGGGTAGGCCACAAAAGCCTTGTTGTGAGTAATCCCGAAGTGCTCCAAGTATTTGGTGAACCCTGAATTCCGAAATTGAGGCCCGTTATCCGTCACAATGTTTCGGGGTGACCCAAACCGAGTGATGATGTTCTTCCAGACAAAGCGCTGGCACTGCTTGGTTGTGATGGTTGCATATGCCTCGGCCTCCACCCATTTTGTGAAGTAGTCGATAGCGACCATGACATACTTTTTTCTCCCTTGAGCTTGAGGGAAGGCCCCAATGATGTCCATCCCAAACCTTGCGAATGGAATAACATTGGAAACTGGGTGGTAGTATGTTGCAGGCCTTTCCGGAAATTTGTAGAACATCTGGCAAGTTTTGCACCTTTGTACATACTTCTCACAATCTTGGTTCATTGTAGGCCAGAAGTAACCTAGCAAGATGATCCTTTGTGCGAGTGTCCTGGACATTTGATGGGCTGCACAGACACGCTCATGAACTTCGGCGATCACTCTTTCCGCCTCCGCCCTGGTCAAGCATCTCAGCAGCGGACCGCCAAATGCCCTTTTGTATAGCCTTCCATCTAGCATTTGGAATCTTGGAGCCCTCAACTTTACTTTTCTTACCCTGTCCTCATCCTCAGGGAATTGCCGGTCATGTAATACTCGACCAAGTCATCCATCCAAATATCATCTGGTACCACCAGGCCTAGATTGGGCTGTCCATCTTCCTCAATCAGGCTAACAGAAAGCCCTTCAATGCTAGCCTTCTCTAGCATCTCAATCCTGGCCAATTTTGAGACATGTTCCGGGGCTGCTTGCGTCAATTTTGATAGCAAGTCAGCATCGGTGTTCTCCCCCTAGGGATTTGTTCCATCACATACTCAGCCAAGTCCTTCAATAGTGCCTTTGCCAAGTCCCTGTACTTTTGCATCTTCTCTCCCTTGGCCTCCATGTTGCCATTGATGTGGCCTACCACCAAACTTGAATCGGATTTGATTCTGAGGCATGTGATTTGTAGGGTTTTGGCCAGTCTCAGACCCCCTATCAATGCCTCATACTCCGCTTCATTGTTTGTGAGCTTGAAATTAAAGATCAAGGCATGATATACCTTGAACCCTTCCGGAGTTGTGAATACTACGCCTCCCCCGTAACCTTTCGGTCTAGAGGCTCCATCTACCGACATGGACCACCAAGGTTCGGTGATGGCCCTGGCCGGTTCTTCTTCCTGGTGACCCGTCATCTCCACAAGAAAGTCAGCCACAGCCTGCCCTTTTATCGCCGTCCTCGGACGATATTCAATGTTGAATTGGGTAAGCATCATGGCCCATTTGATCATCCTTCCCGATGAAGTGGAATCCCTCATGACCATGCCCAATGGTAGGTCGGTCAATACGACAATGTGATGGGCCTGGAAGTACGACGTGAGTTTCTTCGCTGTTATGAAAAGTGCATACCCTGCCTTCTCCGTAGGAGTGTACCTGCTTTCTGCCCCATTTAAGGCATTACTTACATAATAAATGGGCCTCTGGACCCCATCATCCCTCATCAAGACTGAGCTAACAGCCATTTGAGTAACCCCTAAGTAGAGGTAGAGGGTCTCCTTTGTTTCTGGCTTGGACAAGACAATATCTGAAGTCAGGTATGTCTTCAGCTCTTCGAATGCCCTGGCACATTCATCATCCCACTGGAAGGTGTTGGCTTTCTTTAAAACCTTAAAGAAAGGCAAAGCCTTCTCTGCCGACCTGGACAAGAATCGGTTTAAGGCCGCCAAGCGCCCTGTTAACCGCTGGACTTCCCTTACCAATGTTGGGGGTTGCATCTCCATAATGGCCTTGATCTTCTCAGGATTTGGCTCAATCCCTCTCTTCGTCACCATAAAGCCCAGGAACTTTCCCGTCCTCACAGCAAAAACACACTTCTTCGGGTTAAGTTTAAGATTATGCCTAGCCATAATCTCAAAGCATTTTTCCAGGTCCTGAGCATGTGTGCCGCTTGCCCTGCTCTTCACCAGCATATCATCGACATAGGCCTCCATGGTCCGTCCAAGCAAAGGCCTGAACAATTTGTTGACCATTCTCTGGTAAGTTGCCCCTAAGTTTTTCAACCCAAAGGCCATCACCTTGTAACAGTATGTGCCGTCCGGAGTGAGGAAGGCCGTCTTCTCTTCATCATCCTCCGCCATGAAGATTTGGTGATACCCCTTAAAGGCATCCATGAAGCTAAGCAGCTCACATCCGGCAGTTTCATCAACCATTTGGTCCGGGTTGGGGAGAGGATAAGAATCCATTGGACATGCCTTGTTGAGGTCTATGCAGTCCACGCACATTCTCCAGGTATCACCCTTCGGGGCCAGGACAACATTGGCCAGTCATTCAGGGTAGTTTACTTCCCTGATATGACCTACCTCAAGTAGGTCCTTGACCTCCTTCTTCACAAAATCCCTCCTATCACTTGCCAAGAATCTCTTCTTCTGTCTTACTGGCCTTGAACACTCAAGAACAGAGAGACGATGGCAAATGACTGACCGATCAATTCTGGGCATATCGGCAACACTCCAGGCAAACAAAGATTTATACCTGGTCAGCACCTGGACAATCTCAGTCCTTAACTCTTCCTGAAGATCAGCCCCAATTTTGACCTTCCTCTCAGGATTGGAGGCATCAATCTGGATCTCCTCCGTGTTTGCATCCGGCTCAATCCTAGCCTTCTCCTCACCCTTGTCTACCTGCTGGGAGACCAATTCAATTTGTTCGAACTGGCGGGTCATCTTCTTGACTGCTTCCAGGTAGCAGGACCGGGCGTTCTTTTGATCACCCCTTTCCTCCCCGATTCCACAGGGAGTGTAAAACTTCATACATAAGTGTGCCATAGAAATGATGGCCATGACCTGGTTGATTCCAGGTCTACCAAGAATAGCATTATGTACACACTTGATGTCGACCACAACAAATCTCATTTGTTTGGTCACTGTCCTGTTACCCGACCCCAAGGTAACCGGTAAGGTGATCTGACCTTCTGCTTCTATGCTAGCACCAGTGAACCCTGACAATGGAGTTTGTAGTGGTCTTAGCATGGACCTGTCAAACTTCAATTTCTTGAAAGCATCTAAGTATAAAACATTGACACTGCTTCCTGTGTCAACCAGTACTCTGGCCACATCAGCCCCCTTGATGTCCATTGTAATGACCAAAGGGTCATTGTGATCTCCCCCCGTCCTGGGCAGATCCCTATCAGTGAAAGTGATAGGTTCCCTCCTTGCCTGCTTTCCTTGTGATTCCAAGGAAACCACCGCTACGTGCAAGCTCCTGGCCCAGTTCTTCCGCTGGGAGGCAGTGTCCCCGCCTTCCGGGCCACCGACAATCATCTCAATGAATTCTTTATCCGGATTGTTGTTATCCTTCCCGGATTTTCTCCTTCCCTGGTCTTTTCCCTGAGGACGGGTCCAGGTGTTCGCTTTCGGGTCCTTTTTATTCCCCGTCGCGTAACCTTCCCCAAGCTCTCCTTTCAAGGCCATCTCCTTGAGCACAGCCTTGACATTTCGGCAATCCGCCGTATTGTGGGAGTCAGATTGGTGGTAGGTACACCACTTCTCCGTCCATGGCCTCTTGGACTGCTCTCCCTTTTTATCATCCCTTATTTGATGGACAGACCCGTCATACGTGGCCTTTAGTTTGGACCCTCCCGTCTGGTCGTCTTTCTTCGGCTTGTCGGTTTTCACCTTCGTATATCCTTCCTCCAATTCCCGCTTGCTCTTATTCAAGACCTCCGCCTCGGCATACTCTCATGCCGTATTGTAGGCTTCTTGGTAAGAGGAGGGTGGCCTCCTACAGAATTCGGTGTAGAGGTCACCCGACCGGAAGGCATTCATCAGCAAAGACATGGCCGTCTTGTCGTCCATCTCTTCTACCTTGTCGACCTCGTCCCTCCAGCGGGTCAAGAATTGAGTCAAGGACTCCTTCTCCTTCTGCCCTACCGTGTTAAGGTAGGTGAACTTCTTCCTCTTGATGCAATTGTCCTGGTACTTCTTGCGAAAACTTCGGCAAGTTTCTCAAAGGATGAGAAGAAGAGTAGGCATTCCTCAGCATCAGTGTACCCAGCCATCTGTGCTGCATTGTGGAAGGTGTCAAGGTAGACGTTTGGATCCTCCTTTCCTGTGAATTTCTCCACGTCCAGCTTAATCTTCCGCCTCAACCTCTGCGCATGTACCCTGGCCGAAAAGGGAGATTTAGCCAAGGTGTGCTTTTTCGCTCCTGCCTTCTCTTCCACCTTTTCCTCCAGGGCACGTAATTTCCTTGCTACGCTCCCTATCTTGTCCAGGTCATCCTCATCGTATGAGAGCCTGGTATATGCCGACGCCCTGGGCTGGCTTTCTACTTCCTCCTCGTCTTGGTGAATCGCCTCAGATTCCCTAGAACGACGAGATTGGGCGTGACGACTCCCACCAAGTCTTTCCATTGCGCTAGTCCGGCCCATCTCAGGACCAAGACGTAGCTTGGCAGACTTGCGGGGTCCATCCTCTTTGTCCCCTAGGCATTTGAACGCCGAATCTCGAGTCTTGCTGGGTTTGGCTATAGCCTTACTCTTCCTCCTGCGGGCCGCCTCCTGCTCCGTTCATCGATTTCATGGACATTTGAGGGCGCTGCTTCATTCATGGTCCCCGTCAGATTCACTGGGCGTATAGGGACCATCCTAGGGACAAATGTCGACGGGGTCGACACCGGAGGTGGCATGATTGGCGGTGTCATGCCAGGATAGGCAAATGGCATGAAGCCCCCTGCCTGTTGCATCATGGCCATCACCTGTTGATAGCCCTGTAGAGCCTGAGCATTTGCCGGGTCAGCAACAAACTGAGCCCAAGCTAACGGGTATGTCGAGAATGCTCCACCAGGCGTTGTTATCGAGCCTGGGAACATTGTTGTCGTCGGCGTATGAGTAGGGGTTGACATGATTGGGATCATGCCAATTGATCGTATAGTGGTGATCGGGGCAAAAGTCGTCCCCATGCTCGACATCATCAATGGGATGGCAGGATTGCTTTCACTCGCGGCCTGGCTCGACACAGCGTTGTAGTTGCTCGAAGACATGATTGTAGATATTTAGTGGGGGTAAAGTTTTGACCTGGTCGAGAAAACTTTAAAAATCGGCCCCACGGTGGGCGCCAAAAATGATGGTGTAAATATAGCGGGGTGGGTTAACCGGGTTTGACCTGGACACACTCGACCCGTAATATAAAACACACAGCAAGAACACGAAGTATGACCTAGACCGGGCAAATCTCCTCAGTCCGAACTATATTTCTTACTCTATCTCAAGAGTGAGCTTTAGTGAGAGAAAAATTGGATCCCCTCCTCTATCCAATATCATCATATTTATAGAGGAGGATTTGTGACCTTCCCCTGTTCATCCATGGACAAAATAGGAAGCCCGTGGGAAGGTCACTGTATATAATCAATCTACTATCCAATCAATGAATTTAGCAACTACAAGCCAAGACATGTACTGTTCAATCAAAGACTATAAATCGATATTCTCAATCCAATCAGCCCTGCAAAGTGACAAATGTTCCTTTCACTATTTGCCTCGTGAAGGCCGAACGGCGGGGTGGTCCCCTGGCCTTTGACGTTGATTGCCATTTCCAAGTGACGCAACCTTACCGGTCATCTTTCCTCCAAGGTTGTCCGGTCATTTCTTGAGTTCGACCCGTCTCTTTGGTTCTCTGGACTATCCTTCGTAACATGAAGTGACGAATTGGCTAACGCCCAAAATGTGACCGGTCACTTTTTCAGTGGAAGTGACCGGTCAACTTTTGACCCGTCCCAATCGAAGAGTTAACTTCATTTGGTGATTGATAAAAGTGACGAGTCATATTTTGACCTGTCCCTTTCGGTTATCCGGGTCGGGTATAAGGATATACCCATCATGGTCCTATAAACTTATGGTTCTTATTAAAAAAATCATTTTTTATAAAATACTAAAATATATATCTTATATAAAATAAATTTTGAATATTTAATAAAAAATGATTTTTTCTAAATATAAATATGAAACATACATGACTTGGATATTTAGTTGAAAAAATTGACGATTGGTTTTCTAGATCCTAATTTTAATTCTTACTTTCAAAAATTGACTTGGATAAATTTTCTAATTCAATAATTTCAATAAGTTGGTATGTTTAAAAAAATCTCTAAGTCGATTTTAAAAAGACTTAAATTGTTCTATTAGTTACAAAATGATTAATCTGTTTTAATATTTAATAAAAAATATTTTTTTGATTACGTCTTGGAAATTTTTTTTTCTAATTCAATCATTTCAATAACTTAGTATGTTTAAAAAATCTCTAAGTCAATTTTTAAAAAGACGTAAATTGTTCTATTAGTTACAAAATGATAAATCTGTTTTAATATTTGATAAAAAATATTTTTTTAAATATAAATTAGAAGGCTTAAAGTGTTTTTTTAAATATAAATTTTTAAAAAATAATTTTATATTTTTAAATAAAATATAAATTTTTTAGTCTAAAAAAGTATTAATAGACGGCTAAATAAAAATGGCTTCTCTTTTAAATTAATAGTTGTGCCATCATTAACTATGATTCGCATCTCTTTAGTGCATTAAAGAAGCTTGTCTTTTCAATGCATTAAATGTGTCTTCCTAATATTTTTTAGCTTCCCATCCACATTAAATGTGGTTCACATCTTTATTTAAATCATATCATTACCCACAACTTCTTTAAAATTGATTAAATGTCCAGTGCATTAAATGCACCTTATGCAGGACACTTTTAATGCCAAAGATTGTCATAATATGCATCTTTTGCAACACCTAACGAAATAGTTTAAAATTTTACGTCGCTCAATGTATTTATGGAGTGCGAGATCAGTATCAATAGATTTTTAAAGATAGTGGTTATTTAACTTTTGCTTTTCTTGAGCCATGTAAATTATCATTACATTTTATAAATTCTCAATGCAATTAATAGTATTGGCAGCATTGGCCCGTCGTTCGAGCATTAAATGTGCCTTCCCAATATGTTTTAGCTTCCCAAGCACATTTTGAGGCTAAAAAATTTATAATTTATTTAAAAATATAAATTATAATATAATATAATTAAATTTCAATTTTTAAAAAGACTCAAATTGTTGTATTAGTTACAAAATGATTAAATTTTTTAAAAATTAATTTTATATTCTCCAAGACAATATAAATTTTTTAGCCTCGAAATGTATTAATAGACAGCTAAATAAAATTGGAGGCCCCTAGGCGGATCCTTTGGTGCCACAAGTGAGTGTTTTAAAACACTTCACATGTGGCCCAATGAGAAATAAGCATGTGGAGATAACTTCCACATCATTTACCAACTCAAATTATTCTTTTTTATTCTAATTGGCCCTCATTTTCAATTAAATTATTTTGCTTCACTTTTGGCAGGCAGGTCTATAATACTTTTTTATGCAACAACAATATATCATTCGGTTTAATGTGCTTTCTTCCATTTTTAATGTTCTCTTCTTCTCTTTCGTAAATTGTGATGCCTTTTATATTGAGTTAGCCTCGAGCTATATCAAAGTTGCTTGAGTTTGTTTATAAGTTAGGCCATAAAAAATGTTATGTTTGTTTAAAGTCATTTTAGTTTGTTTATAAATTTTACAATAAAAATTTATGAAATTGCAAAATAAATTATTCTACAAAAGAGAACTAATTTATTTACACCATATCTAATTAGTTTTTGGTAAATTACAAATGTTCTCTAGAGCAGAAATTCTTTAAATAGGCACTACAAAACTCACTATAACTTTTTTGTATTGCAATATTTTTTTCTAGCAATACTCGAAATTAATTTTCTATAATGCACTATGATGTTGCTCTCAAAACAGAATAAATATCTATAAATCGTTATATTTTTTAGAAAAATTGAGACAAATCTCAAATACGAGTATACAGTTATATTTTTAAAAACATAAATGTAAAATTTAAACTTAATAAATGAAAAAGTGAATTTTCCTAAAATAATATCACCTTTCATTTATTTTAAAAAATTGAGTATTTTTCAAAAGTTCCGTTCAGTGATTATTAGCTTTAACGACGATCCAAAGCTTACACACACGCAGAAAGATGGAATTTTTATCGTGACGGTGAAAAATATGATTAGTTTTTGAAAAGAGTGAAAATTTAGGATTATTTAAAAATTGTATTAAGTTGTCACATTAAAAATAAAATTATGTGATAGAGGTAGCATTAAATAAAATGGGCACATTAATCAAATGTAACGTCAAAAATGTTATTTAAATGTTAGCAATGAAAATTTCACATTTTATTACATAGAATTTCTATATAATTATTAAAATTTTAATTTTTTTAATAAAATTATACTGCATAGCAAATAAATAAAATTAAAAATAATCATGATCAAATGTTGTAAATCATAAATGGTAGTTTATTTGGGAACATGTGATCATTTATTAAGAATGATAAATAATGAAAGAAATGACAAATAGAAACACAAATCTAAAAAGAAAATTACGTTCAAAACAAAAAACAAAAAAACATGGAAAGAAGAAAACGGAAGGCTGCGGCTGTGTCTTATTTGCTGGAGACTGAGACCGTCCCAAAAAAAAACGGAGATGATGAAACCGTGTGATGGAAACGGTGGAAGGGAAGCAAAATAATTTAATTGAGGATTTGGGCAAATTGGAATAAACAAGAATGGTTTGAGTGTTTAAATGATGTGGAAGCTATCTCCACATGTCTATTTCTCATTGGACCACATGCAAAGTGTTTTAAAGACTCACTTTTAAAGTGGCACCAAAGGATCAACCCCCTCTCTTTTAAATTCATAGTTGTGCCAGCATTAAATATGGTTCACATCTCTAATTCAATCATCTCTTCAGTGCATTAAATGCATGGTAAAATGATTTAACTTTTGATTTTCTTGAGCCATGTAAATTATCATTACATTAAATATTGTTCACATCTTTATTTAAATCATATCAATACCCCGCACCTTCTTTTAAAATTGATTAAATGTCTAGTGCATTAAATGCACGATACTTTTAGTGCCAAGGAAGTCATAATATGCATCTTTTGCAACACCCGATGAAATACTTTAAAATTTAATGTGGCTCAATGTATTTATGGAGTGCAATATTAATATCAATAGATTTTAAAGATACTGGTCATTTTAAAATTAATTAAAAATACTTATTACATCAGTATATAGGTTACCTATCACCCTCCTAAAATGAAAGTTATACTTCCGTTGAGGGGGAATATTTTTAAAATAGCAATTTTGATTATTTCCACTATTTTGGATAACTTTTAATAATCCGCAGTATGTATTAATTTTTAAACTACTTAAGGTTAGAGTAATTGTTGGATACTCTTATTCCTAAAAACTATAGTTAAATGTTAAAATTAATGTCTATGAAACAAATCATTTAGGTACACCATTCTTTGCTATGTGTTGGTAGAAGTAGATATGTATTGTTGACCATTTTTTTCAACTTTAAAGGAAACAAAAAATGAAGCAAATCATTATGTTTGAAGTTAAAGGAAATGAATTTTCAAAGATTCTTTGTCCAAAAAACTGTGACAAAGTTTTTTTCAAAGTGTGAAATGCCCGAGGCTTTTAATTCTCCAAAAAACAGTGACAAACTTGTGTGTGAATTACTACTACTTTGCAGTAAGGCAGAATTATAGGATTATAGGATAAGAACCGTAGTACATATGCCATTTAGGATTAAGCAGGCAATATAGGCTTTGGACCTTCAAAATATAGTAATGGCCTGAGTTCCATATAAACAAAAGATAGAACATTAGCTACACGCACCACGTGTGGTTTAAGTTTTGTTACAATGTTATAGAAATATTAGAAAAGTACTACATGAAACAAAAGATAGCAAGGCAAGAGCAACAGCATCAATCTTCAAAAGTGCAGATATTTAACTGTTGGGTAACAGAGCATATGTTTTAACACTGCATCTTATTTTTACACCTTGATTGACTTGAACTTTTTTTTCTAGCTAGGAGGTTGAAGATTCATCAAACAATCTCCTTTTGATCGGATTATTGGGTTCAATCAATATCTCTTTAACCGAATTGGTGCAACTGTTTTGACTCTCAAACACATCATTTGAACCAATCTGCAATTGAGTAGAAAATAGTGTAGGCATTAGTAGGTATTCTTTCGTTCTATCATAATTAACATAGATGTAGGTTTGGCTCAAGTCTTCTACCTGGTCCCAAAGATCATCAAGTGTAGTTCTTTCCACAACTTCCTTGTACTTGGCCAACACTTTTGGGTCCGTCACCAACCGCCCCACGCTGAAAATATGGGTTCTCTTCTTTGTCGGGGAGTATGTTTGCTTTCTAACATAATCCTTGAATAAGGCCTTCTCACAAACCATTCCATCCAGCTCTTGTGGCAAAGTATCAGGGTCCAAATTCCTCTGCAAAAAAAGCACAAAATTTTAATCCTTACATTAGTAATTATACAGGAATAATTTCATATGTTACATTAAATGTATGTTGATTATTTAGTAATTTTTACCTCATTCATCGGCTCCCTCAGCAAGAATGCACTGATAACCAACACTTTTGTGCATTCTTTGTCAAACATGACAGAAGTAGCATGGCCACCACCACTCTCATCAACCACACGAACAATGACCTTGTACCTACGTTTATGAATTTTTTTCTCGAGAACATATACGGGAAAAGAATGATAGTTGTTACATGTATGAAATAAGTTTGGAATTCAATGTACATGTACACGCCATGTGAAATTGTCTTGTTACAACCATCACACTTAAATCTTGCACCTTCGGGATAAACTTTCTTGTTACAATCCGTGCATCCTAAATATGACTAGGCACGCATTGGACCAAGAGAATCTATCTCACCCATAACCCAGTACGCCCTTTTCTGTTAAATATAGGGAATATTAGAGTATTGGACAGTTATCAATGACGTAACCAAATTTGATAAAGAATAATACTCCCTCTGTCCTAAAACTTTCTTCCCGTTGCGCAAAACGAAGAAAAATCCCAAATTTTTTCAATCTATTTTATTTAAATATTGGTATAGAAATAAAAAATAAAACATACATATTTAAAAACTACATCAAAAGTTCAACAAAACAAGTGGTGACAAGAATATTTTATTATATCATATAGGCCATGAAAAAACACAAATAAATATAAATTCCCGTGAAGTTGGAATAATGCTCTGGGAAGAAAGTTTTAGGACGGAGGGAGTAGTACTTTACCAATTTTTCATCAAACAAGGACTTGATAGTTGTGATCGTCAAACCACCACTATAAATATCTTCTCCTCCACTCCAAATTGTGGTTGTAAAAGTTGTGTCATATGCTTCCTTTGGCGGAAGCCTAACAATATAAAAAAAATTTGTCAATCGTCTTGTTTCATAATTTTGATGTCATTATATCTAGTTGAATTGCTAGACGATCTGAGCATTTTTCATTCATTTGCTTTGACTAACTTTTCCTTGAATTCCAGCACCTCATTCACATCTCCATCAAAAACAACTTTTGTGACGTCAAATACCGTAGAAACATTCACATCTCCTACATCTAGTGCACATCATTAATTATTTGCACGTATATATTATTTTTGTTAATGAAACTGAATTTTATTTATGAAATTGTTGTAGAGACTCACAACAACAGATAGTAAGCTCTCTACAAACAATTTGATTAAACTATATGACACTCTTAACACAATGAGACACACAAAGTGTTGGAGCACTTTCTCTGTCACGATCAACCACACAAACAAGGAAGATAAAAACAATAAATCAAACACAAAAATTGTTTACGCAGTTCAGAGCAACTCTCCTACTCTGCGGGGCCCACGTCCGTGTAATAGTCCTTCCACTAAATCACTGTAAAGATTACACATTCAACCACTATCGGTACCAACTAGTGAATTGAACTAATCTACTACAGATGATTTAAACACTTAACTCTGTTAGTGTTACACCCAATGGCTTATTACACCAACCTTGATAACTTCTGTTATTGGACGTGCTATCATCCCTTCCTCCAGCCCTTCTTAGTTCACCAGCTGGATACAGATTTCAACGAAATCAACATGAACCCACAGTATGATCTATGAAATAACCGTGAGCTCCTTGTGCTTAGAACAACACCGTATATCAGAAGGATCCCAGCATGGTTCCCTTCTGGTCTCTCTTTGTCGCTAGGGTTCAGCCTCTCTCAATCTCTCGCTGGAATATTATGCTCTGTCGCCCCCAGTTCTTGACATATGAACATGTATATATATACAAACTCATGAGTACCCTAGTCACGATCCGTCTTGAACTCTTCAGCAAACAACATCTCTGCGGCTTGTAGCGTTCTATGCAGCTCACGCCTCACCAAGTAGACTTCGGATTCACTTAGGATTATTCATTCCTCAATTGCCTCTAAGTAGACTCCTACTCGAAATAACTGTTGCAATTGTGATGACTTGACAGGACACTATAACTCATAAAAGTTAACTCCTCCTACACTTCTAAAATGTTTTTGTCATAAAGGATAATTCCAACACCTCACACAATTTAATCAACAAACCCCAAAATCAATAAACCTCAAAGAACCCAACAATCCCCCCCTTTGGCAATCCTTTTGGCAAAAAAAAAAACTACTCTACTCTCCGGCCGGTGTGAACTCCTTCTCCCCCTTTTTTGAACAAAAGGTGCCAAAGATGTGTTATTAAATAAGGAGGAAACAAAGAAGAGTAAAGTTCACCCTAAAGCAAGAGGGTTACAATGACTTTGACTTGCTATATTCAGGAATAACCCTGCAGGTTGTACCTTCACCAAGTCATCACACATAATGTGTTGGAGCCAGTAGTGAATCATCAGTATAAAGTAGTGCAGCACAACAAGAGCAGTGATAAACAAAATTTAGCATCTAGATAGAAATGCAAAAGCGTAATGTCACCATAGAGCAAACCAGAGTTGAAAATGTATCAGAAAGAGGGCAGAACAACCCTTAAGCACTACGAAATGTTTGATGAAAGAGTTTTAATATCCTTGTGCAGAACAGAATCAAGCTGAGCAGTCTGTAGCATTGTCTTTCTCCTCCTCTGTACTCTCCCCCTGAGATGATGCTCCTTCTGCTTGAGCACTAAGAGCAACATGTTCTTGCAGCCATATGAGACTCCAGTGCTCTTCCTCAAGGGTTATCCTCTGTTGGTCCACCAGTAGGAGTGCTCCCTTGTTTTGCTGCAGCTTGTGTTCCAGAAACTTTAGTACTCCTTGCAGACCATGAGTGGCCTGATGAGCAACTGTCTCCATATTATTGAAGTGCTTCCCATCAAAATGCTTGTTGTCAATCTGCAGCAGTGGTTCCATAGGCTCCTCTTTTTCAACATCCTTTTTGTTAAAACCCTGTGAGACAAGCATCTGAAAGATTAGCACAGAAAAGCGCAGACCATTATCATTTTGCTTATAGTTGCGCTTCCCAAACTCAGAAATTCGAGCAACTATCAACTTTCCAAGGTTGACAGGGACATTATTTTTGATCTTGTACGAAAGCATGCCCATGGCTTTTGTCACTGTGTTGGTGTGGGAGGTGGCTATCCAGTGGCATGCAGCAACTCTGAGCAGGATGGAGTAAGAGCTTGTCAAGATAGAGGAGGGAACTTTGTTGGAGGGGTGTTGGATTTTTCTAGCTTTGTGGGTGAGTTCCTTCCACATAGTGACTTCACTAACCAACTCATCCTGATCATCATCCAACCCCAGAAATTTATTAACAGCTGTGGGTGAAAAGGTGTATAGTTTTCCTCTGACAAACACTTTTTAAAATGATGCAGTAGCGGGGTTCATCAAATCTTCACTGAAATTGCAATAACACTCATGAATGACTTGTTTTACATAGGAACCAGGAAGAGTGACAGATTTCAGCAAGTTCCTAGCATCTAGCAGAGGTATGAGTGTGGTTCTCAAAGCAAAATCTTCCAAGTAAATGTTACGTTAGGGAAAAATGTTCTTTTTCATGATAATAGGCAAGTAAGATTGAGCAACAGAGGAGATGAAAATAAAGTTGGAAGACTTCCCTGAGTGGTGATTCAGATCTTTATCCTTCTTGGGCTTCGTGGTGGTGGGTGAATTCGTAGAACTGATTTTGGTCTTCTTGGTGGATGGAGGAGATTCTTCGCACATGGTTGCTTCAGATCTTGTTTTCCGTTTTGATCAACGAACAATATTTTGCCCCGATTGTTTTGCCTTCTTTTTGGAGCTGTGGGTGGTACGGTCTTGATGGTCAATCTTCTTGAATGGCACTTTAGAGACTGCTACCAGTGGTTCTTCATCCAGCAAGTTTTGGAATTCTTCATCCGTTTCTACAATCTGGGGCGGTGCCTTGGTTGGGCTTGTGTGACTCCTGAATGACTCTAATGTCTTGTATTCTAGATACATGATGGTGGGAAGATCTGTGGAGAGTTGTGCTTCATCTTGCTCTTCGCCGACAGGCCCTCCATCTTTTGGTACCCCTTGAACTTCTTTGTGCTCTATGTCAGCTTCAACTTCTGGATTTTGGTTCAGGGAAGGTGAACCCTTATCATCTTGAGAAATTGTGGCCCTCAGTTTTTCCCTAGCTTGAGCAAACTGTTGAAGAAAGGATGCTCTTTTCTTTGTTGCATGTGTGTTCTTCCATTTATGAGGAACGGCGATCTTGGTGCGCACCGTTTCTGAGTGTTCTTTTGTGTGAGATTGTGAAATTTCTATGACTTCTGAACTAGGGTTCGTGACAATGGTGACAATGACGAAGGAGTGGCTCTTGGGTTTTGTGTGATTTTTGAAATTTAATTTCTGGTCTCTTCGTTTTTGTTGACACAGAGCTGTATGCGGATATGCATGCTGCATGCGTGTTTTTGTCCTTTAACAGCTCCACGTGTCCTCTATTCTATTGACCCTCTTGTGATTAATGAACTCCTCTGCCCATGCATGTGACGTCATTAGTAGGGAGCACACATACCCAATTTTGATCTAAGTGTTTCAAATCTGTCACCATCAAGTACCTTTGTAAATATATCAGCGAGTTGCTCTTCAGTTGACACATGTTCCAAACTCACAATTTTTTTCTCAACAAGTTCACTTATAAAGTGATGTTTGATGTCAATGTATTTAGTCCGTGAGTGCAATACCGGATTTTTGGATATGCTAATGGCACTTGTATTGTCACAGTATAGGGGAATGGTACCATGGTCTACTCCGTAGTCATTGAGTATGGTCTTCATCCATAATAGTTGTGCACAGCAACTACCTACCGCTATGTAATCTGCTTCTGTCGTGGAAAGTGACACAGAGTTCTGTTTCTTGCTTAGGCATGCTACAAGGTTTCCTCCTAGAAAGAAACAGCCACATGAGGTGCTTTTTCTGTCATCTATGTTGCCTGCCTAGTCTGCATTGCTATAGGCCATAAGTTCTGCCATACCCCCTTTTGAATACCACAATCCCAAGTTTTGAGTGCCTTTGACATATTTTAGTATTCTTTTGATGGCTTTAAGATGAGACTTTTTGGGATTGGCCTGATATCTAGCACACACTCCAACACTATAACACAGATCTTGTCTACTTGGTGTTAGATATAGTAGACTCCCTATGATACCTCTGTAACGTATAGCATCAATCTCTTTTCCATTGTCATCCCTGCTGATTATCTCGTGTGTTGGACATGGTGTTCTAGCACTCTTACTGTCACTCATCTCAAATTTTTTAAACATGTTCTGCGCATACTTGGTCTGAGATATGAAGATCCCTTTCATCAGTTTGTTTTATCTGTAACCCAGGAAAAAGGTGTTGGAATGCATGAGTTCAACCCCTTCTGTGTTGTTAAGTGTTGACTCACAGGTTTTGATAATTGACAAACACAATTTATTCAAGTCAAGATCAAAGTGCTACAACGACAAACACGAAGACTTGAAGTGCCTGTAACACCCTAATCCGTCCAGGTCTGCAGCCCCATTCGGACTAAAGTATAAACTTGGTATTCGTAAACATTCAAAATATTTCAAACAATTAAAACTTTATTTCATAATAATTAATTCAAAATAGTAACGGAGTAATTTAATTTTGCGGAAGCTTAAATAAACATAATACAAACATAATTAATTTATGTCTTTTCAAACAGTAATTTAAATCCAAAACACACATCCGTCCGACCATCTCGTCCCATCTGCTTCCAGGAAATCTTTTCTTCATTCTTTTTGTTTACCTGCGTGTAGCAAATAAAACATACTACACGCCCAGCGTTTAAGCTGAGTAAGCATATCTAATGCGTCGAACATCCATATAAACTGAATCTAAATTCATAATCAAATCATTTGATATCATGCACATAATGTTCAGTTCAGGTACTAAAAAAATCGTAAGTCAATATTCAACATTCATCATTTTATTTTCACATTTTATCCGTCATTCATAATAACCACAATATTCAATTCAATATTTATTTATATATATTATTCAACGGTATCCTTATACTATTCTTAGTCTAAGGCCAATCACTTTAATTTTTGTCAACCCTTGAATGAATTCTAGTTTAAATAATTAAACTATATCCCAGTATAAAGTACTCCTAAATAATCCTTAAGCTAGGTCTAGTTTAAGATAAAAGGGTTTTGAAAATCTTAAACTTACCTTCACTTAAGGCCAACCAAAAACCGACAGCGTAGTGTTCACTGTTGGGTGGGTGGTACCCCCAAACGAGTAGGTACTCAAGTTTGGTTCTTGGATCCCGTATGTACGTTTTAACCCTAACCACCAGGGTTCATACCCGCAAGGCCTAACTTAAATAGGTATATCTTAGAGGTCTTCTAGATACCTTTCAAATCGATATTAATATGGGTATATCTTAGAGGTCTTCTAGATACTCTTAACAATATATTATTTTCACATTCATCAATATATTCATTATGATTTAAACCTTCCCGGCAACGGCGCCATTTGACAATTGTAGTTTTTCGAGTAGTAAACCTTCCCAACAAAGGGTCAGTTTTCTCTCCGAGTGTCGTATCTCTCGAGGAGTGGACGAAGGGAATTAGTTTAATTACTCTAATTAGGCGAAGATTAGGATTGGTTTATGAAAGTCTTCTCGGAACGACTATAAAAAAGGCAGAGTAAAAATAATAAATAAATTAAGTTTACATAGTATAAGTATAGATCTGGACCTAGGGTCTGGACGTCATTTGAATTTATTTTATCATATTAAATTAACAATTGGAATAATAATATTTCTATTACTACTCATCCATTTCTAGATTTGTACTTAATCCGTTGACAGTTGAATATCATAGCCTTTTGGCATACAATATTTTCTCAATAAATAGCCAATTAAATCTTTCGAGAGTAATTAACCAGATAAGGCAAGAACAACAGATTAACCATTCCAACATTAATTTAACATCAAAAATAAACAACCAAATTAGTCCGGACCCAGAGATCCGGACCCTAACTCATACTATGCAAACAT